TATATATATATATCGTATCTCAATTTTGTTATTGTTAGCTACAACTTTAAAAATAGTTTTTCTGTAATACAAATGAAGCAGAAATAAAATATAGAATTTGAACTGAATTAAGTTAAAATTAAAGTGTTAAAATTACTAAGACTGCAATCAAAATAAAGCTAAATAGGAATATTTAAAAAATCTTTAAAATAAATCTTTAAAAAAATATTTTAAATATTTAAAAAACATCCAAGTGATACAAATTACACAATTACATACAATTAAAAAACTTTAATATACTGTAAATAAAATTTAACTAAACTAATAAATACAATTATATAGTATGAATGATATTTAAATATAACCAATGAATGTTTGAGTTTTGTTTTTAATTTTTTTTGTAAAGTTTGTCCAGTTACAGTTGATGTTGTCATCATTTTGCACATTATCATAATTAAAGTGATATTTTTATTTACAAAAAATATATATATGCAATTTCTCAGTTAGAGTAAAATGGTGTAAAATGAATACATATGAAAAATAATCCTTGGCTGCATTTCTTGCAAAAGAAAAAAAAAAAAGAATGTTTCTTTATTCTTCTATTTATTATTTTTCTATATTCCTATATGTATTATTTTTCTTTTTTTTTTTTCATTTTAGTCCATTAGTTGCACCACTTCTTCTCTTTTTTTTTTTATCGTTTCTCATTGATGTTTGTTTACTGTTGATGATACTGTTTACTGTGAATGAGGTCCTGGTACAGTACATCCACATATGTCTCCAGGCTGTCCTCTACGGCACATGAGCCAGCTGAAGACAGATGCTGGTGAGGCAGAAGCCTTCTGCTGTTCATCTAAAGCCTTCCGTCACTGACACTGGAAAACACTTTCCTGCAGCCAAGAGGGTCCTTCAAACCGAAGGGCTTCCAAAACCACATTTCACAGAACAGTACTGATTAGAAAAACAGATTTTCCTGGCATTCCAGTCTCTCCCCCAAGTACAAAAGTTGATTAGTTATTTGTAAATATGTGCATGCTTTGAACATCACCATTACAAGACTTTCAGCATATACAATTACCATAGAATGAAATAAGAAATCGTCTTTTTTTGTGCTTTTTTTCCCATTCTTCTTGAGGTCTGAAAATCTCTATGGATGGTTCTGTCCAGGCTAAATTTGGTTTTGTTTGGTGTATGACAGATTCTGTCTGAACAGCCAATGTGGGCTTAATTACTCGGCTGGATCCTGATGTTCTCAGAATGCAAATTGTCAGTATTTGATATGGGTAACTTATGAAAATGAAGAGAGGCGAGATGATGGTGTTATGCTTCTGATAACTGGCTTTGAATGGGAAATGACCATCTCTATTTGCCATTGTCTGCTCAAACAAAGCATGGTTTGTTCGTAGATGCTGCTTTGCTTTATATATGTTTTAGCTATGGTGTCTTTATTTTTTGAGGACCAACATACTCTCTTAAAAATAACGTTCTTTATTGGCATCAGTAGCTCCATGATCAACTGCCTTTCCACTGAACAAAACTTCTTTATAGTGGAAAATGGTTCTTCAGATTATTGAAATATTCTTTACACTTAGAATAAAATGGTTCTTTTAAAACTTTTCATTAAAAGGTTCTTTGGGGAACTCAAAATGGTTCTTCTATGGCATCGCTATGAAACCCTCCTTTTGATGTCTTTATTTTTAAGAGTGTGTTTGTAATATTTATGCCTGCATTGACATGAAAGGATAAACATTTTAATATGATGCACAGAGCTCAAACTTTAATTTTGTCTGCTCGTCGGCAAGCCCTTGTTGTCTTCTGAGCGGCTGTGTTTATCACCGTTTGAGCTGGGGAAACTTCTAGAAACATAGTTATGGCGTTGGTGAAACTTCTGAAAACATTTATTAATCATAGTCAGTGTTGTAATGGGTGCTAATTCACAAAACGATGATGCCAGCTGGCTCTTGTCACAGCTGCTCTGAAGAGGTCTAGTTATTTCTGTCAACCACTGGCATCAGTATAGGACTGCAAAAATCATGAATGCTGTCTATTTTTGTTCTTTGGGCTCTATTAAATTTTTTTCTTTTTTTGGGGCTTTATCAAATGTGCTATATAAGTTGGAGCCATGGCCTTGAGGTTAGTGCATGGGTTATGTGGGTGATGAAAGTTCAAATTTGGGTTTGAATATATCCAGTCACTTGTCTGTTGTGTGTTTGTCTAGTAAAAATGCACAATATATTGGTATTATATCAGCCAATATTACAGTTTTTATTTTATTTTAATCTCTGTAGATATTGTATATTTAATTGTGCATTCCTATTTCTCCTATTTAATAACACTGTTAAATGTTTTTTTTTTATATATAAAAAAATAATATAATTTTTTCATACTGTACATTAATAATGTTGTGGTTGTTTGTGCTAAATTTACGTGTAGCATTTAATAATTGATTTTATTCATATGTTTATTTTTTATTTTATTTTTATTTTTAGACAAAGTAGTACATAATTTTAATATCAGCCATTTATCATTTATTGCTGTAACATGATTATTATTGGCTTATTGGGCAGGATTTTTGATATTGGTGCATTTCTAATCTTTGTTACGCTCTTGTTTTGAACTAATTACAGCATCTTTCTCTTCTCTACAGGCTAATGGGAATTTGTAGATGAATATCGTCTAATTCTATGTTCTGGATTTATGTATGTTCTTTACAGACACATTGAGAACTGGTCGGGCTTGCAGACGTTGAGGGACGTTGACATGGAGTTGTACACTGGGCTTCAGAGACTGTGAGTACCACATCACTACAACATCTCGCTTAGGACAATACTGATAACAAGCAAATCAATGTGGGGTCAATGCCAGGGTGCTGCCACACTTAAAAAAAGAAACCTAAATCGCCAAAGATAGCTTTTTGATCTGACATCTGCAGGAATGTATTGCTAGCGATGACACGCTAGCATGGGCGACTTTCACAGTGGCATCCAAAAGCTTTTTCTAGCCAGACCCACATTAAAAAGTGCCTCCCCAAGGCCTGCTTTAAAATGATCAAATAATGCTGCTGAAGTAGCCAGAAAATTTAATTACATCCCCCAACACCCTCCATCTGCTCAAGCCTTGCTTTACCTAATTCAGTCTGCTGCCGTCCTGCACGTATCTTTACTTGGCTCTTCATAAGTAGGGCTTCCTCCCTCACAAGAGCCCCTCAGACCTCCTCTTCCTTCCTATTACAACTCTACTGGTTAATGGAGACCAGAAGCAATGATTAGTAAGGTTCTCATTAGCGGTTAACTCTCACCTTTTACTATTAAGGTGATGTGGCAGATCACGGTCTGCCTCTGGAGGGGAAGATTCCGTTTTTTTTCTGTTTTTTCTTTTTCCCCCCAGAGTAAATGTGTGGTTACTCTAGGCTTTTAGCATGTGAAATTATGATGTGATATGATTCCACACTCTAGGGCTTCTGTTTTTAAGAAGTCACAAATAATTAAACGTTTAAAATGCAAAAGTAACTGCTCCCAGAACGCAACAAATCATGCAGCTTTGACATTTGTGTTCATAGTATTGAGACAAGAATCAGTCCAACACATTTCAGATGCTGTATTGTTCAAATGTTTTTTCGTCGGTTAAATTTGCAGCCCTAAATTCACCAAACTTGAACTTTTGGTATTTAAACATCTGTACATACACTAGCGTTCCTGCTCTTCCCACATTTTAACACAAAGGTGAATTCATTAAACACTTAGCACACTATTTTAGTGCAAAAATGTTATTTTTCACCAAACATCTACAATTTAGTTTCACCAAGCTGCTGTTTTTAAATTGTCATTAAATCTTTTATTGCTAATTTAGCTTAAGTTTTCTTAACTTGAGTGATATTTGTGATGTTTTTAAAGGGATAGTTTACCCAACATTGAAAGAAAAAACAAAATCTGTCATTTAGATTCTTTAAAATGTAAAACACACATTCCCACATTCTTTAAAATGTAAGAAAGTTAGGTTTAGAACAAAATAAGGATGAATAAATGGAGCCTGATCTCATGATGAGATCCGAAATACTTAGCGCCATGTACGTTTTGTGACATATTCGATGTGAAATGTCCACAGAGTGGCTCTAAAAGAGTGTTCGGGTTTTTTCCCCCAAACAGATAAACGTACATATGGTACGTTTTATGTGATGTTGGTTTTGTATGCGTCACCGCAGTTCTGAATTAAAATGTCCATTGAGTAGCGCTATAACTCTAATGCTCCGTGATGTTTTAAAATAACATACCATCTGCTCTACACTTAAACCTACCCGATAGTATGAACAAAAGCGAATGTGTCGTAAAAACGCAATTGCAAGCATGCTGTTTTAGCTTGTTTTTTTGATCTCTCATCTTTGAGCTCTTTCATCGTGAGTCATGTTTTTCACGGGATTCATACCCAAGGATTACGCATCCTAAGTCCAATTCCATGCTGGCTGAGCTACCGAGCAAGCTTGTTACGTCCGGAAAGCGAAATATATGGAGCTGTAATCATAACTGTGTATGAAAACGATTACAAGTGCTCACTGTTTTACCTCCTTTAGTGTTCATTTCTGTTGGAAACTGCAGTGATATGTAATTATTGGTACGTATTTTGCATTTTGCGAAAAAAGTTCCCACAGGTAAGTTTTCATCATGAGATCAGGTATAAATGATGACAGAAATGACATTTTTGGGTGAACTGTCCCTTTAAAGGCCACTAAGAATGATAACTCTAACGATAATGTCCTGTTTATTAAGCATGCTACAATTTTGTCATCTGCCGCTTTAAATTTTGGTAACACTTTAGTGTAGGGGCCAATTCTCACTATTAACTAGTTGCTTATAAGCTTGCCTATTATTAACATATTGGTTGTCTATTAGTACTTATAAAGCACATATTCTGCATGTCCATATTCTACATCCATAATCCTAACCAATACCTAAACTTAAGAACTACCTTACTAACTATTAATAAGCAGCAAATTGGGAATTTATTGAGGTAAAAGTTGTAGTTAATGGTTTGTTAATAGTGAGAATTGGGTCTTAAAATAAAGTATGACCTACATTTTAAATCTCGTCAAATTCTGTTGGATTCTGATTGGCTGCCAGGGTTTTGGTTGTTCATCAGCTGGGAAAAAAATCATTTAGGAAGTTATTCCAGCGATAACATTCTCTGTTTTTCAATATATTTAGTGTGGATGTCTCAATTCTTAAATAATTTGAAAGATTATTGAAACTGTATAGTTAACGTTATAGTTATCGTCCTTGTTATGAACAGGCCTTAAGAGACACGTTTACATTTTCTAGCGATCATGGTATCCGTAATTAACCATATGCTGTAGATCAATCAGGCTGAATGTTGCAGTCGACAGGATTTGGGTGTACATACTAAAACACTCCTATCCTCTAAATAATTTGCTAGGCAAACTCATGTCTTCAATTATCCTCCTCAGAATCAGTCTCGCCTGCTCCGAGACCTCCGTTCAGGCCACCGTTCACGATTCAGAATTGGCAGTTGGTGATTATCCATGTTAAGTATCATGTTCATCCGGGCTCAAGTCTCCAACCTCATGCTAAAAGAAATACTTTGATGTAATCGCTCACGCAAACATCTCTAATAACAAGAGCAGAGAGTGCTTCGTGCAAATAAACATCTCACAAATGCCAATGAAAAAAAAATTTATTCAATATACATAATTGATTCCAGCTGCCAGCGTAAATAACTCCGGGAGCAAGGATGCAGGCTCTTGATGATATTCTGCCCTTGATGTTACTTGAGGAGAGGAGACAGACTGGAAGAGAAGATTAGATGACGTTTTTTCCCTTTTACTTCCACATTTTCCCTTTTGACACTGCTGCGAGTCGGCTAGGCAATTAGTAGCCCGTTTAGCCCCTAGCTGCTGTCAAATCCATTTAAAATGACGAACATGAACTGGTCTTTCACTCTTTTTTACCAGCTCACCTCCTCTTAGACCTATGATTTGCACACATAAAATCTTTTTGCAAAATCTTAAAGGCTAATCAGAGCAACTTAGCGCAGCATTTGACATTAGCATAACCTAATTGTCCTTTGCCACAGGCGTTTTTTTCCCCGTAGCATTACAGTTTCTCAAGTTTTTCATCACATCTCTTGCACTCTTTCTAAATATTTGTCACAAACATTTTCTCTTTGCACAAATTGTGGGGAAAAAAGCTGGAATGAGACATAAATTAATGATCAGCTGAAGTTCATCCGCATGTTCTTTTGATTTTCAGTATGAAACTGAAGCTGTTTGAAAACTTCTTTAGAAATACAAATCTTCTTTAGAAATAGTGAGATTAATTTGTGAGAAGCTGTTAATTATAGATTTAAGAATGAACTAAATATCATTACAAAAAGTGGCTTTAGAAGTCAATATATTCTGAACTGCCATCAATTTCGCATGTGTTTCAAGATTTTAAAGTGTTTCAACTTAAAAAAAAAAAAAAAGTCCAGCAAGGTCAAAATGGTTGGTCAAAAGTACTAATACATGTTTATTTGTCTTTTCCATTCCAGGAACATTGTGAACTGCAACTTACGTACGATTCAGTCGCGAGCCTTCGCCAAGAACCCCCACCTGCACTACATGTGAGTCCTGTGTGCTACAATGTTCTTGAACCCTCTGATTAAACACCTCATTTGAAAGTAAATTGTTTGTTTCTCGAGACTCATACTATTAGAGATGGATCGTGAAGTTGGGTTCACTCGTTCATCTACACCAGGCAATATATCTTATTAAGTAGGCCATGCTTAGCAAATGGGGACAATGTGTTTTCCATCTTTGGATACTCTGCATAGTATCATGGCTGCTCTTATTCGAGAGATGCTTTGGCCCTCCGTGCATAATTTATGATGATAAAGCTCTCCGCCATGTGTTACTGAGCACCACCCTTAACCATTTCTCAAAAGTGAGCTTTGTGAGTAGCTCGGCAGGCACATACGTTGGTTTAATCTCTAAAGAGCAGCTTTGCGGAGCGCTTGTTAACATATCGTCTTTGTCTGTAGTCGTTTGATGGTTTAAAACTGCTTGACCGAAATGACTCCTTTCGATAATTGGCTTAACAGTCTGCGGCAACCTGCACCTCTTGAAATTCTCTGTGTTAGATTGGCTCACTCACTTCCTCGTCCCGACAGTCAGCAGTGTGTGCTCTGAATAAACAAAGATTGTTTGCTGTAGAGCTGCCTGAGTTGCAGGGGAGACGGTGGTGGAGAATGCGGGCAAAGAGAGAGATGATTTACTTAATGAAGGCTGAATGGGACGAGTGTGACAGGACTGTTATTTCCCAATTTCCTGCCGGCGAGCGGTGGAAAGGACATGGAATCGCAGACTGCCACCTCCACACAGTCCACCCCAATTTGTGCTGTCCATCACGCCCTGCAAATGCACTTCTTATTTTCTTTCTGTCATAAACCGACGATTTTGCGATTTTGTGTTGGTGAGCGTTGCTGGTGAATGTCGTCTATACAAAATGTTCGGGAACTCTTTCTGTCATGTATTTGTCACTACATGTGTCCACTGTAAGCACTTTAGTAGGGTGTACGGGAACCTTTTTTCATGCCAAGTTTCCGGTACAACCTGGACACTAGCAGTCTGTTAACTTAAACTATGTGTGTACACGGAATCTACACAATTTTGTACACATTTTTGTGATTTTTCTGAAAGGTTACCACCACAGTGTCACTTCAACCACACTAAATTGTTTTGGAAATTAAACTTTACATTTTTTCTTTTAGTGCCGTCAAATCGATGAATCAGTATTAAATAAAAATATATTACATACATTTCTTAAATATATACATGTATGTGTGTGTATTTATATATACATTTAAATATAGACCGTACGCACGCATATATTATTTAAACACAAATTTATATTTTGGATGCAATTAAGTATATATATATATATATATATATATATATATATATATAAATATACACAGTGCACACATATATTATGTAAACACTAGCTTTTATTTATGGATGCGATTAATCAATTTGACAGCGCTCATTTTTTGGGAATAAAATAACTGACTAATTTGTCTTTCTAAGGCTATTTTCATATATCTCATACATAGCTAGCATACACATTTAAATAATATCTTAAAATAAATAAGTCTTTTACTACTTGTTTGGAAATCAAGTGATTTTTCTTTCTTGTTTTTTTCCATACATCATGTTTTGTATTTCCCTTTTTCTTATAGTTGTGTCTCATAAGTATGTAGAATAACTTTTATGGGCAAAATAGTTGTTGTAGATCATCATCATTTTTACATCATTACATTTTTTGTACAAGTATGTAGCGTAATTATTAGGGGCAAATTAGTTAGTTGTTGTAGAAATGAGGAACAACTAAAGTACAGTTTTTATTTTTGAAGAGATATAGGTTTATTTCAATCTTTATTTAGATCCATCATTGTTTTGAACGTGTATGATTTACATTTTTATTATTGTTTTTTTTAATAGTTTAGGGTTGAAAGTCTGGGTTTTTTGTGATTGAGCAATGGTGACCAAGACAACAGATATAGGGGCGTCTTTCTCTTTAGGACATATTCAACACTATGTCTGTGTGAGAGAGAAAGAGAGAGGAGGAGTCATACAAGCACATACTACAGTACCGTCTCTTTTTGGGCCCTTTTGTTTTGTTCTCCCATCCCATGTCACAGAGCACTGACTTTTATGATCGAAAAAATCCCAGAGATTTCCAGACGTGTTATTCACAACACACACAGGGTCAGGTCCTGGGAACAAAGCGGCAGTGTTATCTGTTTCCCATTTCTGTTTTGACATTTGACGTGGATGATTAATAAATCACCGTACTTACAGGGAAATCAAGTTATTAGCACTAAAAAAATGCATCATTGTTCTGGATCAATACACACAAAAATCTTTTTTATTATTTTTTTTTTGTTGGTAGTTTTGTTTTATTTACATTTAAAGGTTAATATACTGCCATGCATGTTTTGTTTGATCCCACTGACACTTTTTTTCCTGTATTTGTAAATAAAAATGAACCTTTTTAATTTTTTAGAACTATTTTTAAAACATCCGAAATGTTGAAAAGCTAGTTATTACATTTTGATGAAAAATTAGAATACTTTTAATTGTGAATTTATACTGACTTTAACATTAGATTTAGGCAGCCACTTGTTTTGGAGATTTGCCAAGCTTTGTGACCCTTGCAGTAAGAGTTTTCGCTATCAAGGGGCTGATTGCCTTGTGTTTATTCCTTGTTTTCATACCCCGACCACCAAAGGAAATTTTTCAGCAGCTTTGGATAAAAGAAAAAGAAATCAATACAGGGGCCTATTGCTTTGGTCGACCTGCTTTTTGAAGTTGGGTGTTCGCTTTCATGTGTCTACTAGCCATGTGTGGCGAAATGAAAGGTTGCCTTCTGGATTTCTACAGGAACATCTTTTTTCATTGGAACGATGGAGAGAGGACTCAATATATCCAGCAATGGTTTTCATAGGTAACTTGTAAAGGTTATTCCCATGAGCAATAGCAGAGGTGGACCAGAGAGTAACTCTCATTAAAAACTCTGTCCGCTCACTGAACCTCCTTGCAATAAAATGTCACTTTTCCTTTATATAGACGGCTTGCAGGCTGTAATATTTGTTTTTAGTCAATTTTGCTCTGAAATAGTAGAACGTTTTGGTTGATAAGCATGTGCAAAATGATTAGAATGTGTCAAATTGTAACAGACCAAACTAACCAAATGTTTAAAAAAGTTGGAAAATATATAAATAATAATTTAACATTTATTTTATCAAGTATAAAAAATATGAATATAAAAATGGAATATTAGCTACTTTTTAGAATTTGTTTTTAAACAAACCAACTAGTGTTTTTGTTTTGTTTGTGTAAGATTTTTGTTCAGTAAGATGTTTTTTTTTTCTGTTTGCTTTGCTTTTTTTCGATGTGTTTGTTTTGTCTTAGCTGTACTTTTGATTTGTTTTTGCTTTTTTTGTTTGGTGTTTAATGTCACTTCATCACTTCATTTGGTAGACTACTAAGGGCACTGCTTTATAAATATTTATAAACTACAGTTCAAAAGTTTGGGGTCAATAAGATGTTTTTGTTTCGCTTTGCTTTTTGTTTGTTTTGTTTTGCTTTTGTTTTTAATTTTTAATTTTATTTTTTGTATTGCCTTAGCTTTACTTTTAGTTGTAGTTCTGGTGGTGGTCTCTTTCTTTTCTCCCTCATGCCAATTTCTCTTGAATTTTCACTCTGTCAGTCTCTCTTTTGCCCTCTCTCATTCTTTCTAATTTTGTCCTTCTCTAAAACCCGTCACTCATAGGTGTCCCCTTCTTTTTAGGGCCCAAGCCAGAAAGGCGCAGGGCCCTATTGATCCCCTAAGGATTATTAGGGCCCAAGCCAGAAAGGCGCAGGGCCCTATTGATCCCCTAAGGATTATTATTATTTTTTATTGAAAGGCGCAGGGCCCTATTGATCCCCTAAGGATTATTA